CGGGGCTCCCCTCCGCGTCCCGGGCCGAGGATCCTCAGCAACTTTTTCCTTCCCCGACGCCGCCTGGGGGCTCTGTCTTCCGGCTGGAGCTCCGACCTTCGGCTCCCTTCCCCCAGGGAGTGAGTCCTGCTTACAGAGGATTAATGGAGTCCGCACAGCTCCGGCTCCCGGTGGCCAGCGGCCTGAAGCCGGTCCCCACCGCGGCCCCCGACGGCTCTGCGGGGAGGACTCAGCCACCTCCTGGAGTGTTAGAGCCGCGTCCTGAGCCGGGGCACCCCTCCCTCCCTCCCCTGGGGGCAGGGGGCAGGGGGTGGCTGCAGACTCGGGATGAATGAGTTGGAAATAGATGCCTTGGCTGGGCTGTGTTTTGTGGGGAGAGCTCAGGTGCTAGGTAGGAGGGAAGCGGTCTTTGAAGGAGGTGTCATGTCCGATCTCAAAGGTCTGGTGAAGAGGGGCTTCATCCACCGCCCGGGGCAGGGCTGACCTAAACTGGAGGCTGACCGGCCTCCTCCGGGGTCCTTCCCGGTCTTTCCAAGTGTGTACTGCTGGCCTGCTGAGCCTGAGCCAGCTGCGGGGACTGGAACTGGGGGACCATCACGGGCGGAAGCTGGGCGCTGGTGGCTCCTTACCTGTAAGCCAGGCTACTCAGGAGGCTAAGATTTGAGGATTGCTGTGGTCAGCCCTGGCTTGAAAGTCTGTGAGACTCCCAACTGACCACTAAGAAGCCAGAAGTCGAGCTAGAATGCTTTGAAAAAACCAAAACACAGAACTCATGGCCCTGAGTTAAGACCCAGTATTCATTTTCTCTCTCTCTGTCACACACACACACACACACACACACACACACACACACACACACACATACACCAAAGGAAGAGGTGTGGCCTTGGCTCTGAGACTGCACACATGTCTATCTACATGTGGCCTCAGTTTCTCCAGGCTCTAAAGTTGGGCCTCACAGTGCTGTGCAGATGTGCTTGCTGTCTGTTGAGGCGGTGGTACACAGCCAGCGTTTGGGGAAGTCTACGCCACAGATGGCCGGGTCCCGGGGGGTGGCAGGGACGAGCATGTGTCTCACTGTGTCCATTTTCCTCTCTTCGCAGGGCAAGGTGGAGTATCTGGTGAAGTGGAAAGGCTGGCCCCCCAAGTAAGGCTCCTGTGTGTGTGTCTGTCCACCCCTCCCAGGCCTAGCTTTAAAAAGTTCCAGCTCGGACAGCTGACCCAGACTAGATGATCAGCTTCACTGGGCCTCAGTTTCCCCTCTGCCCACGGAGGTTTGAACACAGGCTGGCATGTGTGGGTATCCAGCTTCTTCTTCCACTCCAACTGCCTCCTCCCTTCCCCCAACTGCTTCTCCCCGCCGTGAGAGTGAAGACCTGGCTTCAGCAACGGCTGCTGGCCAGGTCCAGCGCTGGGTGAGGAGACTGCAAGCTCCAGTGCCCTGTCCGGAGAGGCAGAGCCACTGGGTGGCACTTCCCAGTCTACAGGGTAAGTTGCCAGTCAAGACAGCCTCGTGATGTGACTCTGAACCTCTCAAGATGAGCACACAGGCTCCGAGAGGGTAAGCAACTTGCCTCATGTTACCCAGCATGGAGGCAGAACTGGGAACTTGAACTAAGTCTTCCCATTTTCAAGCCTCTTCTCTTTGGCTTCCCTAAACTCCCATCCCAGAGTTGAGGATCTGAGCTAAGACCTCTCCCAGCTGCCCCGCCTCTTCTACCCACTCAGGGATTCTGGCTCAAACCCGTCACCTCCCTAGGAAGAGCTGTCTGTCAGGGTGGGGACGAACTAATCCGTTGGTATGTGGGTGCCCTGCCCCCCCTTCCCAGAGACTGGCTCCTGGAACCCGCCCCTGCCTTGCTGTGTATCAGTGCTGGGGCTTCTCTCTTCTGGACTGGGGTGAGGGGCTGACCTAGGATTGAGTTCTAAGGTGCTCTGTGGGCATGGTGGGAAAGACAGCCCTGAGCATGAGCACCGCTCCGCTTCCCTCTCTGTAAGGCGGGCTTGGTGGTCCTGGGCACGGGTTCCAGGTGAACCCCTGGCATCCTGATGGCAGCATGGTGGCCAGTAGGGACCCAGACAGCACGTGGGAGGGGGCCTCACTCCATCCCTTGGCCTCTTGGGGGGCTGGCCACCTGGAAACCCTGGACCAGTCCGCATCTGCTGGCCAAGGAGGGAGGGGAGCACCAGCCAGGAGCTGAAGTCCTCCAAGCCTTCCTCCTGGTCTTTGAGTTGCAGTAGGGAACCCTTCCTTTGTAGGTTGTTGTGAGGTTGTAGGCTGGATTTGCGGAGCCTGAGCTCTTGTGTGAATGCGCAGGCTGTTGGTGCAGGGGCTGGCTGGCCTCTAGGCTTGTTTTCCTGTTGGTTTGCCCCACACTGGGGACTGAAGTGAAGGGATTGCACTTCCAAACTGGATCTCAAAACCTCCTTAGTTATTCTAATGTTCTCTGCTGGGTGCCAGTGGCTCACTTACCTCCAATTAATAGCTCAGCAAGAGAGCAAGATCCTGCGTTCAAGCCCTGGTACTGTCACAAAAGAAATAGAAAAAAAAAAGGAATAACGTTCCTATAGTCTTTCCAGGTGGAGACATTGAGGCCCAAAGAGGGGAGGTCATCACAAGGATGTAGCTACTAACTGCGTGCAGTGCGGTGCCCACTCTTGCCATCCGCAATGCCATCTGCATGAGGCAGCTGCAGTGGCTGTACCAGACCTTGCTTGGGGAGACAGATGTTGTGTGTGTGTGGTGGGGAGAGCCTCAGCCCCTGCATCCGGCCTCCCACCCCAGGGAGCCTTGTTGTCAGGCTGCTCTGCTAGGCTGGGAGCCTTGGCTGGGCAGTGCCAGCTTGGGCAGGGGGCCAGTTGTCCTGCTCAGCAACATTCTCCTCTAGCCAGGAAGACATCTAGTAATCACAACACAGTAGCTGTGATTAGAAATAACACTCTGGAGCCAGGATGCTGTGCAAGTATTGCCCATTTTCTTTCTGCAACAGTAGGCAAATGACTGACTCCGCTCCCTCCAGTGGAAGTGGCACAGCTACTTTCTGGAAGTCACCACAGATGGCGCAAGAGGGGCGGGGCCACGAGGCGCTACAATGTTATCAGCTGTCAATGGCCTAGGTCTCAAAGACCCCAAGTACCCCGCTTTCAGTTCCTCCTTTCCAGGGCCCTCCTACAACCCCACCCCCAGCGCCTCACCCCCGGTTGAGAACACCTTTTGTCCACTGTGATTGTGGCCTCATTCTTCTAGCAGGCCTGGTCCCTAGAGCTTTAGTAATGGTTATCATTGGGACAGTAGTAACTAAGCTGCCGATCAGTGAGCCTCCCCACAAGCCAGGCCTTGGCCCCTGTACAGATGGGAAGACAGAGGCCCACGGTGGGAAAGAGCCGGTGCCAGGGAAGACTTGAACTATGCCGTGGCATGCAGCTTACTCCCCCAGAGGGGACCAGCAGTCTCCTTCCTGCCCGTTGGTCATTTTTCGGTCCACTGGATGTGCGCAGACCAGGGTCTGAGCATCCTGCCTTCGAACTCTGCATGTGTATGGATGCCAGCTGTGTGACCCCAGGCAAAGACCTCAACCTCTCTGTGTCTTCATGTCTCCATCTGTAAGCTGAAGCCTTGCTGAGGATGGCCTGAGCCGAGTCCTGGACGCCAGGCCAGGGACAAAGCTTCTGCACTCTAGGTTTCCGAAATTGTTTCCGCTTGTTTGCCTTTCTTACGCGCCACGCCGATCTAAGTGCGTCTAGTGGCTTAGCGTCTGCGCTCCAGGCAACCCTATGGGAAGGGAGGGAAGGGATCGCCGGCCGAGGCCCCAGAGGGGTGCGGCCGACGGGCTCACGGCCCGCAGCTGCGGCCTGGGCCTGGGCGCAGCCAGGTGCAGCTCCCGGCGCTGCAGAGAG